TATAGTTGAAACTTTGTCAGTAAAGATTGAAAACCAAAACCTTGTCATTGTGGTGGTGTACAAGCCTAAGTAAGTAAGTAAGTTTATTCAGGTATACACAAATACAGTTACATAGAATTATCATACATAGCAGCATATGTGTAGAGAACCTAGGATAACCCAAAAAAGTCAGACAGAGTGACTTATTTCCATTGGGGTCCTCCAGATGCAACTTCCAAGCAAATCCAGGAGCAGCTTTTGAAAATTGACCACTGTCTGGAAAATCTCCCAACTCCTGCCCCAAACATCTTACTACTAAGAGATTTCAACTTGAGACACCTAAAATGGAGGAGTATAGCAAACATTGTTTTAGCAGAGATCACCCCAGGAGGCAGCTCAGATGAAAATTCACACACACATGAACTATTAAATCTCTGCACCAAATTCACCTTAAACCAGCAAAAATTAGAGCCTACAAGACTAGAAAATATGCTGGACCTCATCTTCACAAACAACGCCTATCTGATACGTAATATAACCGTATCAGAGACAATACACTCAGATCATAACATAGATGTACAGACATGTATGCACAGGGCTCTTGATCAGCAAAATGTGATCAATCATGAGGATCTCTTCACAAAATTCAATTTTAATAAAAACATACAATGGGATCAAGTCCACCATGTCCTAAATGAAACAAGCTGGGAAGATATCCTAAACAACATGGATCCGAACATTTGCCTAGAAAAAATGAACTCTATGGTTCTTGAGGTCTGCTCATGACACATTCCTTTAAGAAGAAGAAAGAGAAGATGTAAACTAGAGAGAGAGAGACGCTCCCTGTACAGGCAAAGAGTCACGGAGCTGCTGAGAGTGGCTAATATATCTGAAATACGAAGGGAGGCGCTGGTCAGTGAAATTGCAAATATCAAACTTAAGCTGAAGGAATCTTACAGGAGACAAGAATCACAGGAAGAACTAAAATCCATAAAGGAAATTAAAAAAAAAAAACTTCTTCTTTTATGCAAAATCTAAGGGAAAAACATCCAGTATTGGGCCCCTGCTTAGGCAGGATGGGACATACACAGATGACAGGCAAGAAATGAGAGATATTAAAGTTCCAATACGACCCAGTGTTCAGCGAACCGCTGCCTAGAGTAAGGGTCGACAACCCAAACGAATTCTTTACGAACGAAACCCAAAATTTGGTCATCTCAAAAATCTCGGATATTATCCCAACTCCACAAGACCTTGAAAAAGCAATAAATGACGTGCCCATGCACTCTGCCCTAGGCCCAGATTCATGGAACTCCGTGTTCATCAAGAATTACAAGAAGCCTCTATTGCGTGGCTTCAGCATTCTATGGAGAGGGAGCATGGACACGGAGGTCATCCTACACACACTAAAAATAACAAGACATAGCACCACTCCACAAAGGTGGCAGTAAAGCAATTGCAAAGAACTACAGACCAGTAGCACTAACATCCCATATTATAAAAATCTTTGAGAGGGTTCTAAGAAGCAAGATAGCCAACCACCTAGATACCCATCAATTACACAACCCAGGGCAACACAGGTTTAGAGCAGGTTGTTTCTGCCTGTCTCAGCTACTGGACCACTATGACAAGGTCCTGGATGCTGTTGAGGATAAACAAAATACAGATGTAGTATACACAGACTTTGCAAATGCTTTCGACAGGTGTGACCATGGTGTAATAGCACACAAAGTGCATGATAAAGGAAAGTTGGTAGATGGATCTATAACTTCCTGACAAATAGAACACAAAGAGTAATAATAAACAGAGTAGAGTCCCAGGCAGCCACGGTGAAAAGTTCTGTTCCACAAGACACAGTACTCGCTCCCATTCTATTCCTCATCCTCATTTCTGACATAGAGATGTAAGCCATGGCTCTGTGTCTTCCTCTGCGGATGACACCCGGATTGTCATGGCAGTGACCTCCATCGAAGACACTGCAAGACTCCAAGCAGACATCAACCAAATCTTCAAGTGGGCCACTCAAAACAATGTGAAGTTCAATGAGGAGAATTTTCAACTTCTCAGATATGGAAAACTTGAGGAAATTAAAAATGTATCAGGGTATACAACAAAAATTCTAACCAGACAATAGAGCAAAAAAAGAAATGTGAAGGACCTGGGAGTGATAATGTCAGAGGATCTCGCCTTCAAAGGCCACAACAACATATCTACCTCATCTGCTAGGAAAATGATAGGATGGATAATGAGAACCTTCAAAACTAGGGATGCCAAGCCCATGATTCTTTTTAAATTGCTTGTTCTCTCTAGGCTGGAATACTGCTGTGTACTAACTGCTCCCTTCAAGGCTGGAGACATTGTAGACCTGGAGAGCATACAACGAACTTTCATGGCTCACATATATACAATAAGGCACCTAAATTATTGGGAACGGTTGAAGGTCCTTGATCTGTATTTCCTGGAATGCAGGCGAGAGAGATACATGATAATATACACTTGGAATGTCCTGGAGGGATTGGTACCAAACCTGCACACGAAAATCACTCCCTTTGAAAGCAAAAGACTTGGCTAGAGATGCAACATTCCCCTGATGAATAGCAGGGGCACCACAAGTACATTGAGAGACAACACAATAAGTGTCCGGGGCCCAAGACCATTCATCTGCCTCCCAACATACATAAGGGGGATTACCAATAGACCCCTGGCTGACTTCAAGAATGCACTGGACAGGAACCTAAAGTCAGTGCCAGACTAACTGGGCTGTGGTTCATTTGTTAGTTTGCGTGCAGCCAGCAGTAACAGCCTGCTTGATAACATCCTGATCCACCAAGAGGCCTGGTCTCAGACTGAGCCACAGGGGCATTGACCCCCAAAACCCTCTCCAGGTAAACTCCAGGTTACCAAATTCTGTGCATATTATATGGCAGTCCTGACATCTGAATGGGCAGTTTCTTGCACTGAGGCATACTAGTGAAATGGCAAGGAATTGAGTTGACTTGAGCAATGAAATTAACTGATAAAAGGACTCAGAAAATGTGTAAATTACACCCAGACCCCTCCCCCTTCCCTGCATAATTTCTTAAGTTTTCCCTAAAATTTTGTATTTTTGGTGTCATTACTTTCAGAAAAAGATATATAAAAGATATATAACTTTTATTAGGGCTGTATATTTACATCCTATACTTTAAAAATTAGTTTTGTTTTGTTAACAGGGAGGCCTGGCCTCTGGCTGGGCTGTACAGAGAGTAGAAAAACTCTCAGAACTGGTCACAGGTAACTCACAGATAGTTATCATTATATGCAATGTAAGGAAATAACAGCAGTGTTTGCTGGTGTCACATACCAATGAGGAGGGGGGGATGCAATCAGCATTGTATTACTGGTGTAGTTGGCCAACACTTTCTCTGCTGCACAGCACAACACCCTGTTTTGATGTTCAAGAGTACTTTTGTAGATTATTCCATGATTGATAGGTCTCTAGACAGTTAACTCCCATGAATACAGAGGCACTCTGTGTACAATGCACATGCTTATTCATGAAATGTACTCACAGTATGAAACTGCCTTGTAGTACTGTGTAATTATCTATTTGTAATTACAGTGGTCCTTCGATCTACTATTGGCTGGAGTTAGGATAAGTTTGAGTTGTAATTTGCCCTCAGGAGGCCTGGTCACAGACCGGGCCGCGGGGGTGTTGACCCCCGGAACTCTCTCCAGATCTCCAGGTAAATAAAGGAATTTAGTTTTTGAGTTACAATTAGAATTATGAGATACAATATACACTTGTGATTTACCTACTGCATCTTTTGTATTATCAAGTCATCATGGCCCCTAAATTGTGAGGTAAACAGACAATTTGCTTGCCATGGGTTCAGTACCCACCTCTTGTGTAATTTGATTTTAAATAATCCTTTAATTTATCCAAATCTTCCATTATCAATGTATTAATAAATGGTTGATTCTACTTATTAATAAATAGAATTACATTTCCATTAAATAATTGTTTTATTTTAATTTTGCCAACTTTGCTTCAAGATCATTTTTAGCTATTACTATTCCTCAGTTTTTGGACCATTTTGTCCCAGCTCCATGAAGTCATTTTGTAAAAAATATTTTGATTATAGTTGAAATAAAGAATTGAAAAATAAAACATTTAATTTCTGGCTAAAAGCTCATAGACAAACTCAGAGTAGAACTTTATCTCACTAAAAGTTATGCTCTGCATCTGTGTCAGCATCAATCATTCTGCATGCTATATGCCATTTCTGCGTGCTCTGATTATATTTTTCTCTAGCTTTGTTAGAACAATATCTGGCTTATTTTTTATTTTTTTTATTCTTTCAATGTAAGTCTCTATTGTTATAGAAGGTACCCTTAAATTTATTTCATTTACACCAGTAATTCCAGTGAGTGTCTTACACTTTGTGTGGGGCCCTTTTTACCACAGCTCACTAAGTTAGTTTATTACTTATGTCTGATGTGAGCTGGTAGCCTTGCAAAGTTCCAAACTCCAGTTCACACTAGTGTCAAGAATTCTCCTATTTCCTTTTGTATTGGCTGATTTTCTGTTGGTCTTGTCAATGCTGGACCAGCTTTGAGGTCACCAGGAAGATTTTATGTTTACCTCACTTACTATTTTTTCCAGCATATAAAATGCAAGACAGAAGTATCATGATGGTAAATCAATAATATTCCAGGGCTAATTACCCTCTTACTTTACATTAAAGTGTAACCCAAAGCCTATCCTTGACCCAGATCTTGAGCATATAAGGAGGAGGGTGATTTTCCAAGACTTTGTAGGGAAAAAAGTTGCACCTTATATGCCAGAAAATACGGTACGTGACACAGCAGAGTGATGCCATTTCTTGGTCAAACTGATATCTGGGTCCTGTCATTGGTGGATTATTCATGTGTACACTCAAAGTGTTATAATGCTGACTATGGGAATGCAATTTCTTGTAATACATGGTCAACTTCTGGCTGTCTTATATTTTAATTTATCTCCTCATCTTCCTTTCTAGAAAAGCCAATGAAGTAGTGGGCATGCTGGGGTGATGTGGTGGGAAAACAGTTATCAACATTGATGAAGCCTGATTTTTCCATCCTTCCTTAGTGCATTAATGGCTGCACCTGAAAATAGGGGTCTACTAAACTCAAACAAGAAGCATTATTCAGCCTCCACCTGCTGTGTTAAGCATTCATCTGATTCATTTGTTGCCTTAACCCTGTGAAACCAGATGCAGGTCCAGGAGGGAAAGACATGACAGCTATTTCACACTTCAAATACTTAAACTTAATTAATGGTTCCATTCTGTTAGCATTGTTACAAGAGTTATTATTGTTGTTTGAAACTCAATATTTGTGTTTGCCTTGCATAGCTTTGTCTGTGATGAAATCTCCATGGGTAATTTAACTTTCACTATTGATTTATATGATTATTTTTTTTATTATTATCACACCGGCCGATTCCCACCAAGGCAGGGTGGCCCGAAAAAGAAAAACTTTCACCATCATTCACTCCATCACTGTCTTGCCAGAAGGGTGCTTTACACTACAGTTTTTAAACTGCAACATTAACACCCCTCCTTCAGAGTGCAGGCACTGTACTTCCCATCTCCAGGACTCAAGTCCGGCCTGCCGGTTTCCCTGAATCCCTTCATAAATGTTACTTTGCTCACACTCCAACAGCACGTCAAGTATTAAAAACCATTTGTCTCCATTCACTCCTATCAAACACGCTCACGCATGCCTGCTGGAAGTCCAAGCCCCTCGCACACAAAACCTCCTTTACCCCCTCCCTCCAACCCTTCCTAGGCCGACCCCTACCCCGCCTTCCTTCCACTACAGACTGATACACTCTTGAAGTCATTCTGTTTCGCTCCATTCTCTCTACATGTCCGAACCACCTCAACAACCCTTCCTCAGCCCTCTGGACAACAGTTTTGGTAATCCCGCACCTCCTCCTAACTTCCAAACTACGAATTCTCTGCATTATATTCACACCACACATTGCCCTCAGACATGACATCTCCACTGCCTCCAGCCTTCTCCTCGCTGCAACATTCATCACCCACGCTTCACACCCATATAAGAGCGTTGGTAAAACTATACTCTCATACATTCCCCTCTTTGCCTCCAAAGGAAAAAGTTCTTTGTCCCCCACAGACTCCTAAGTGCACCACTCACTCTTTTTCCCTCATAAATTTTCTATGATTCACCTCATCTTTCATAGACCCATCCGCTGACACGTCCACTCCCAAATATCTGAATACGTTCACCCCCTCCATACTCTCTCCTCCAATCTGATATTCAATCTTTCATCACCTAATCTTTTTGTTATCCTCATAACCTTACTCTTTCCTGTATTCACCTTTAATTTTCTTCTTTTGCACACCCTACCAAATTCATCCCCCAATCTCTGCAAACTTCTCTTCAGAATCTCCCAAGAGCACAGTGTCATCAGCAAAGAGCAGCTGGACAACTCCCACTTTGTGTGTGATTCTTTATCTTTTAAACTCCACGCCTCTTGCCAAGACCCTCGCATTTACTTCTCTACAACCCCATCTATAAATAAAATTAAAAAAACCACGGTGACACCCACACATCCTTGTCTAAGGCCTACTTTTACTGGGAAAAAATTTCCCTCTTTCCTACATACTCTAAACTTGAGCCTCACTATCCTCGTAAAAACTCTTCACTGCTTTCAGTAACCTACCCCCCTACACCATCCCACTTGCAACATCTGCCACATTGCCCCCCTATCCACCCTGTCATACGCCTTTTCCAAAATCCATAAATGCCAAAAAAGACCTCTTTAGCCTTATCTAAATACTTTTTCACTTATATGTTTCACTGTAAACACCTGGTCCACACACCCCTACCTTTCCTAAAGCCTCCTTGTTCATCTGCTATCCTATTCTCCGTCTTACTCTTAATTCTTTCAATTATAACTCTACCATACACTTTACCAGGTACACTCAACAGACTTATCCCCCTATAATTTTTGCACTCTCTTTTTCCCCTTTGCCTTTATAAAAAGGGAAAATATGCATGCTCTCTGCCAATCCCTAGGTACCTTCCCCTCTTCCATACATTTATTAAATAATTGCACCAACCACCCCAAAAACTATATCCCCACCTGCTTTTAAACATTTCTATCTTTATCCCTTCAATCCCGGCTGCCTTACCCCCTTTCATTTTACCTACTGCCTCACGAACTTCCCCCACACTCACAACTGGCTCTTCCTCACTCCTACAAGTGTTATTCCCCCTTGCCCTATACACGAAATCACAGCTTCCCTATCTTCATCAACATTTAACAATTCCTCAAATATTCCTTCCATCTTCCCCAAAACCTCTAACTCTCCATTTTAATAACTTCCTTTCCTATTTTTAACTGACAAATCCATTTGTTCTCTAGGCTTTCTTAACTTGTTAATCTCACTCCAAAACTTTTTCTTATTTTCAACAAAATTTTTTTGATAACATCTCACCCCCTCCCCTCATTTGCTCTCTTTTTACATTGCTTCACCACTCTCTTAACTTCTCTCTTTTTCTCCATATACTCTTCCCTCCTTGCATCACTTCTACTTTGTAAAAAAACTTCTCATATCTAACTTTTTCTCCCTTTTCTATCTCTTTACATCATCATTCCACCAATCGTCCTCTTCCCTCCTGCACCCACTTTCCTGTAACCACAAACTTCTGCTGAACACTCTAACACTACATTTTTAACCTACCCCAAAACCTCTTCGAACCCCATTGCCTATGCTCTCATTAGCCCATCTATCCTCCAATAGCTGTTTATATCTTACCCTAACTGCCCCCTCTTTTAGTTTATAAACCCTTTAAACCCCTCTCTTCCCCGATGCTTCTATTCTCCTTGTTATCCCATCTACCTTTTTTCTCTCAGTGTAGCTACAACTAGAAAGTGATCTGATATATCTGTGGCCCCTCTATAAACATGTACATCCTGAAGTCTACTCAACAGTCTTTTATTACCAATTCATAATCCAACAAACTAACTGTCATTTTGCCCTACATCATATCGTGTATACTTATTTATCCTCTTTTTCTTAAATATGTATTACCTAACTAAAAACCCCCTTTTTATACAAAGTTCAATCAAAGGGCTCCCATTATCATTTACACCTGGCACCCAAAACTTACCTACCACACCCTCTTTTAAAAGTTTCTCCCACTTTAGCATTCAAGTCCCCCTACCACAATTACTCTCTCACTTGGTTCAAAGGCTCCTATACATTCACTAACATCTCCCAAAATCTCTCTCTCTCCTCTGCATTCCTCTCTTCTCCAGGTGCATACACCGTTATTATGACCCACTTCTCACATCCAACCTTTACTTTAATCCCCATAATTCTTGAAATTTTCACATTCATATTCTCTTTTTCCTTCCATAACTGATCATTTAACATTACTGCTACCCCTTCCTTTGCTCTAACTCTCTCAGATACTCCAGATTTAATCCCTTTATTTCCCCCCACTGAAACTCTCCTACCCCCTTCAGCTTTGTTTCGCTTGGGCCGGGGGACATCCAACTTTTTTCCCCATTTCATAAAATCACCCAATCATTTTTTTTTTCTTGTCACCCCGACAAATTTCCAGGGCACATTTAAGCAAAAAAAATTTTTTAAAAATTTTTCTTCTTCTCTTTTTTATTTTATTTGTTACAGGGAAGGGGTTACTAGCCATTGCTCCCGGCTTTTTTATATTTTACTCCTGCTTTTTTTCCCTCTCCCCCTTTTTTTTTTTTATAAATTTAGGGTATTAATGAAAGAGATTTTATGAAGTTTTGTTTGCATTTAAAGGTGTGTGCAAAACGGGGGAGGTTTAGGGGGCAAATGACATTGTTTTTGGGCCCGATTTTGTTTATTTATCAAAGGGGGACGTTGTTGGGGGGGCCCTTGTCTTCCTGGTTGGGATGTTTAAAGGCAGGCTTTCCCAAACCTAGAAAAATTAAATATATGGTCGGGGGGTTGATGTGGGTTCTTTTGTTTTTTTTTTTTTTTTAAGAGATCAATAAATTTGGAAGTAGCTTGAGTGAAAGTTGCTTCAGGGAAATGTGTCAGATTCTGGCGAGGGTATTTTTTATTATTATTTAAAAATTGGGTTTTTGGGGGGAAAGTTTTGGGGAAAGAGGATTGGGGGGGCTTTGTTCACCTCTGGGAGGACTTTTGGGGTGAGGTTCAAAGGGGGGAAGGGTTTTGGGCCCAACCTCGACACTTCCCAGAATTTTGGGTGTTTTTTTTTCAATTCAAGCCATTGCTATTGAGTTTTATCCCTTAGTGAAAACCCTGACATGTGCTATTCCTCTCGTGTTGCTTTATTATTGTTTTTGCAGGAACCTAGCTGTTTGCACCATTCCCGTTAATGTATAACCCTACCCTGGTTGGGGGAAAAATGGGGTTACTTGGGGGGAAAAACCCAGAAAAGAGCATGGGGAAAAAAAGGGGAAAAAAACCCACTAGTGGTTGGGGGTTGGAAGATATAGAGTAACCCTTGGTTAACAACCAAATTAGTCCCTAATTAAGAAAAAACATGTTTTAAAAACCGGGCATCATGCTCTTCCACTTTCACTCCCCTTTTCCCCTAACCCCATGGCAGTAACTGCTAGTGGCCTTGCAGTCCCCAAACCAGTAGGAAATTTCCCTTCCAAGCCAGTGGGAGAGGCTATTATCTATGGGGGAAATTGGTCATGTCCCCCTCCACACACCCTCGGCCCCTTAAAAATTATAAGGGACCCCACGCGCAAAAGAGGAATAAGGTGAAAATTTTTTAAAGAGATTAAAAGTAAATAGGTTTTAGAAAGATATATCATTAACGATTTTGGAAATTATGGAAAAAAAATTTTGGGTGGACAAATGAAAACCATCGGGAAAAAAGGAAAAATGAACAAAATTTTCCGATTTTTGTCCATAGCAGTAATGTCTGGTTATATTTTTTAATCTTTGGGGACCAAGTCCAATGATGATGTTTGTTTGTACAGCCCTAGCGTAGCCACGCCCAGGACCTTTTTCCCGAGTTTTTTTGTTTGTGTTCACCCCGTGCATACACCCCATTATTAAAGGTCCCCAAATTTTTTTAGGACTTCTTTTTTTAAATTGGTTTTTATTAATATTTTAAAGGTATAGGTGAAATTTAAAACAATGGTTCAAAAAGAAAGGGGTTTGGGGGTTTTAAAACTTTTAAGAAGAAAATTGCCTAATAAAAAAGGGTGGAGGGGGGCATTCATTGGCACGGTTATGTGAAAAAGAAATTTGTTAAGAAACATGGTGTTAAATTTTATGAAAAAAGCAAGAAAAAAACTTAGGACTTTTGCTTTTTAATTTTGTGTGATGTATTGGAGTTTTACAGCTCCTCTGACTCAGAATTATTTATTTTCAGTGACCACTTTTCATGGTAGTTACCCCTTTCATCTTTCCCCAAAAAAAATTTTTAAAAAATACTGTAGAATTACGTCCCGGGTTCTAAAAAAAATTACACTACTGAAAGTACTACAGGTTGTAATAACAAAACTCTTACAAAGTGTCCAGTTGTTTTTTTGAAACAGAAGTCAAGTTTTGCTGGTTCAAAATTTACAACTGGATGATCAAGGGAAAAAATTAATTTAAAAATTTTAGATGCTTTTGATATTTGGAAAAATCATCCCACCCCCTCCTTTTAATCTCGATTTGAGTAACTTGTGTTTTCGGGCCCTTTTCCATATTTTTGGGTCAAAAAAGGGAATCCACCCGGGAATTTATTTTTGAAAAATTTTGGGGGCCCACTAATCCCAAAATATTCTTGCCCCCCTTAAATTTTGCAAAAAGGAGGAGGAAAAGGAATTATAGTTAAAATAAAATTTCTTGTGCTTAGTTCTTTTTTTAATTTATGTGTAATTTAAAAAAGGGGTTCAGGGAAACCGGCAGGCCGGACTTGAGTCCTGGAGAGGGGAAGTACAGTCCCTGCACTCTGAAGGGGGGGGTTTTAAATTTTTGCATTTTTTAAAAACTGTAGTTTAAAGCACCCTTCTGGAAGACAGTGATGGATGTGAATGAGGGAAAAAGGGTTTTTCTTTTTGGGGCCCCCCTGCCTTGGGGGGGGGAATTTGGCCCGGGTTTTGATAAAAAAA